AGGCATGGACTGTAATTCAGGGCTGGGGAACTTTTTGCTCTGTAGATGTTGTGGGAGTTCATCATCCATAAAGCAGCATGCCCAATGTAGGGCTGCCATATGTCTGGAATTTCCTGGACATAGCCGGTATTTGGCAGTCGTAAACACAGAAGCGTAGGAAGGGGGGTGCGGGGGGTGCGGACCGCCTCAGGTGTCATCGCTGAGGGGGGTGACATTTGGCGCGCCACCCACCCATGACTCCCAAGCCTACCCTGAGCTGTTGGGGGAAGGGAGTTGCACCGCTTTGCCTTCATTTTGACAGCTTGGGTGGGCGGCGTTTCCAGGGGTGACATTCGGCGTGCCACCCACCCGCGACTCCCAAGCCTACCCCGATCCCATCAATGTGAGGGGCGGGTGACAAAAATTTTCTGCACTAGGTACCACCTGACCTTGCTAAGCCTCTGCGTAAACAGTGTCTAGGCGGAAATCACAGAAATGTCCTGGAAAATCTTGATGTATTGCAACAGCTCAAAACCTTCACTTTTGTTTTTGAGATTTTGCAAAAAAGCTCAACAACTTTTGTGTTTGGACTTTCACAACATCTAGAGGGCCACGTATTCTACATTCCTGCTGTAAATGGTAGACATCTATTTATATACATTAAGTGCTACTTATTATGATCAAACCATGTACTGATGTGTAGCATTGTGACAAAGTCTTCCCTGTCCTTTTCGAAGTCTAAAATATAACAAAATAACACAAAAAGTTGCAATGAGCGCAACTTGCATTGCAGCCAAATGGTATCGATTGTACTTAAAGTACTCGGTGTCAGAGCTCCTGTTGGACAAACTGTACCTATAATTCAGATGACAAATAATATAATAACACTGTAGGCAAAACAAATTATAATGGGAAGAATATATAAAAAGTTAATTTAAAGTCACTCATAATTCCAGTAATGATTTCACCCACAGTGTTAACTTGCAGAATGAATGGCCAATTGAAGTTAATGGCCTCCAGCTCTCTTGCATTTGCTCATTAATCTTTTGCAAGTCAATGGGCTTTGGGTGACTCAATATATGGGCACAGTTTGGTTCAATACTCACTGTTCCTTTGGGCTAGCAGGGTGACAGAAGCTGGGCAAGACTATGGCATGCCTTATCAGCGCTCCATAAATAATACATGTTGGTGCAAGGGAGCCATGAAAGGTAAATAAAATTAAAGTTTGTCTGCTTTGGATAATTAAAGATCTCGGATACTTTGCAAATGGAGTGGGATTATTGGACTGTGCCCCCAGGAGCATGCTAATGTACTCTAGATGCCATTGCATTTGTCAGGAATCTTTAGCTGAACCTGGTAAGTGATTCTTCTGCTAGTGTTTCCCAGAGTTTCATAGGTGTTCCTCTACCTGATTCTTATTCTTGTAGCCCTGACCTTTGAGCCAGAAGCTTTTGGAACGTTCTGTGCTTGCAGGTGATTGACTGAAAAGCATGGCGGTAGATGAGGACGGATAGCTATCACTGTGTGTGTGTGTGTGTGTGTGTACAGTGGTACCTCAGGTTACATACGCTTCAGGTTACACACACTTCAGGTTACAGACTCCCCTAACCCAGAAATAGTGCTTCAGGTTAAGAACTTTGCTTCAGGACGAGAACAGATATCATGCTCCAGCGGCGCGGCGGCAGAGGGAGGCCCCATTAGTTAAAGTGGTGCTTCAGGTTAAGATCAGTTTCAGGTTAAGTACGGACCTCCGGAACGAATTAAGTACTTAACCTGAGGTACCACTGTGTGTGTGTGTATGTGTATGTGTGTATACACACACACACACACACACACTTTTTTTTTTCTTTTTCATTCATTACATACATCTCAAATTCTTAACATTTACTATATATTCCTCCCTCCCTCCCCTCCAGGGCTTCCCCCAACTTCCGCTTCTGGTTTGTTTCTATTTTCACCCAGTTTGCTCTCTCTTAACAGAAACAGTTATTAATAACATAACTTCAAGCCTAAAGTCATAAAAATAACAGTAAATACACCATCATATTTCACTATCTTCTAAACATTTTCTAATGCTAATAATGTGAATGTTTATTTAAATCCCACCATCAAATCTATTGACTTTCTTTGTTTCTGCAAATATAATATGAATGGTTCCCAATCTTTTTCAAAGTCTCTGTTGTCTTTTTCTCTTAGTCTGTCTGTCATTTTTGCCAGTTCTGCGTAGTTCATCAACTTCTCTTGCCATTGTTCTTTAGTTGGTATTTCTCCAGTATATCAGTATAAATGGCTGGAGGTTACCTGGCAGCTCCTCCCAGGATTGATTCAAAGTTTTTTTTTTTTCTTTTTCTGCTATCCTAGACTAGTGACTTTCAGACTTTTCACCCTCAAGGAATACTTTCCACCTAAGCTTGTCCACCATGGAAATATTGTGTGTCTGCTATTGTCAGAGAATTTTGGGGTTCTCTTGCTCTCTCTGTTTATATGGGTTGCTGGTTTAGGATTGCTGGCCCTCACTGGTGCCTGTGCAAACTTCAAAGGTTGTCTAGAACAAGTCCAACAACACTCCTTTTCCACAACACGTCACTGGAAATGGATGGCAATGGCAGACAAGTCATTCTTGGAAAATGTATAGTTGTTGTTGATAGAACTGATCAGGGAAGTTGCAAAACACCAATACCACCACAAAAAAACCCAATGCACACATTTCCAGCTTTTCTAAACTCTGGAGTTGATTGCCCAGCTTCAAATAGGCTGCCTCATTCCAGGTACATAAAGATTCACTAGTGATTTCCCTTCTCTTTGGTGCCTGTCTTTTGAAGAGATCGCTTCAAGCAAAGAGCCCTCATTAACTGTGCAGTATGTACAGAAAGTTCTGCTGAAAGGGCTAACATTCCTTACAGATCTGAAGTAATTTTTACCACTACAGAAGCTGTAAAAGAGAGGAGGAAAATAATAATAATAAAGCTCTTTCATTTTTAGATCTACTCATGAGCAACGAGTGCCTCCAGAAAGTTGGTGTGTATGTGTGTTTTAACGATTTACACCCACCGTGTCAAGCCAGTCCTATCACATTTTTCTTCTGGCTCCAGGATGGGGGAACCTATTTCAGTTAGTGGGCTGTCTGGGATAAGCTTTTTTGAGGTGATGGGCTCACATGCTGGTAGCTGGTGGTGCCAGAGGCAAAACTGATGTAGATGTTGCCTTTGTACACTAGGGGGTAATCCTATGGCAAGATCTGCAGGGGTGAGCTGCTTAGGATCCAATGGATCTCTGCTCCATCCCCAGCTTGGCTCAGCTAAAGATTCCCTGGTGTAACTTGCTCATTCCAGCCGGTGCAAATCCGCCCCCCCAGTGAGTGTTCTTGTTGGAGCGTTGTGGGTATCAAGGAGTTAACACTGTGCTAAGTGGAAATGCTGACTCAGTGATGAGTGAGCATCATGAGATATAGGGAGTTGCCTGATTGGTCTATAGCCAGTTAGTATAAAGAGGTATGCCTCACTTCCCCTACACTGGCTTCTCCTCTGTATGCAAATCCCAGTTGTGTATGCTGATTCCTAGATGTAAGAAGACTGCTTTATGATGATGCAAGGCTGCAACTGGAATAAAGTCCTGCTTAAAATACAGTTGACTCCTCAGTGCTTCATGTGGGGCTTCCATGCATTGCAACAGTTCTGAGGGCAGGACCAGAGAGCGGGACACAGGCTGTATCCTAAGCCCATTCAGGTTGGTTGCATGACCTGGCAACCTGGCCAGAAGGAGGAAAACAAGCATTTCAAAGACCTGTTTGGACCTGATGTAACTTCACGCCAGCTTAATTTTCCAATTGCTTACTTTATGCCAGCCTCATATGTATAGGATTGCTCCCTAGGCTAGTTTCTACGAGTAAGAGTTATTATCAGAGTTCAAGGACATGGTCCAGCCAGACAAAAACACTCAGTTCTTGCTCTTATGTTATTTTAAGACCTCCTGTACCATTCATGTCTGATTTCAATAAGCTTGAGATGAAACCCTTAGTATCGCTACTATAGCGTTTCACCAAACCTTCAAATTCTGAAAGTGGACATGTTGCTGCTTATCAAATATCAAAGTCCACGTTAGCGATGGCACATGTATATCTTCTAGTAACCATTAACGTTTATCCTCCAGTATGAGAACATTATCTACATAAAAACAATATAAATAATACATCCCCTTAGTCCTCTGCCCTCTTAGGAAGCCAAGACTGGTATAAGAGGGCTTTGAATGAAAAGTTGGAAGTGACCTTACAGTGACAGAAGTGGTGAATGAGGATTCTGTGATACGATAGTTGCAAGCATGAAAAGCATAGCCATGTGATTCTACCGTCATCAGCACCAGATGAGAAACTAAACATTAGTTAGAAGTTAGAAGTTAGACTGCAAGGAGGGGGTGGGGATGGTGACGATCATTTCCTTGGGGTCCTACAAAGAGTGAAAAGCTTTTATATGAGCCTAAGAACAAGCTTTCCTCCCTAAGTTTTAATGAGATGGTTTTCTTTTAAGAGCAGACTCTGCTGCTTGCATTTAAATGTGAGACCTGCTACTGCATTAGCCTGGAAAATTGATTGGTAGCATTGAGATGAAAAACTCCCTAAAAATCTAATACTATGCAAGAGGGCTTGATTAGTTTGTGCACGACCATCTACAACAAACACAGAAGATACGATCATAAATTATGAATGCACCAAATCCACCCAACCGCTCTACAATTACACATAATAATCTCATTTTTGTGCAAGCCACTATGTTTTAAAAATGAATCTCTTATTCCCTTCACTCCCCACCACTAAATTTTGCAGGAGCAGTGTGTGGATTCAGTTTGTTTGCCCAACGGAAATTCCATTTAGGGCTGAGGCTTGATGGATGTGGAAGGATCAATAGACAAACAGTACCACGTAAATCAGCAAAAGCAACAGAGACTTGTGGCACCTTAAAAACTGACAAATTTATTACAGCCTAAGCTTTTGTGGACTCAGGCCCACTTCATCCAACGCTCAAAGTGACGGCGTCGTTGGCAGGTGTATAAAGGATACAGTTGTAAGGTTGGAGTGATAAAAATCCTTTGTCTTGATTCAGCCCACTAGTGATAATCTTGATAATCTTGATCGATTATTATACATCTGTTTCATGTTATAATTTTTCTTTGTAGTTCCTTTCTTCCAGTATGGGCACCTTAAAGTCAGTTTCAGAGTATCTTATTATATAACTGCATTGTATTAGGGGAAGTTGCTTGTGAAAATACGTATAGACAAAATTTCATACAAAAAAAATGTGTGCATGAGGTGAAATGCACCTGAAGATTTGTACAAATTTTCATTTGGACATGTTTTTTTAAAACAAAAAGAACTTGATGTGGAAATGGAGAGAACCGTACTCAGGAGTGGAAAAATGAGAAACTGGGAGAAGCCGAAAGAGTTTCATTTGTCCATCCCTACTTGATGAATCTTTGGTGTGATCCATTGAGAGAGTACTGTGGCATTACACAGTTTAGGTTTGGCTTGTTATATGCATCTGACCTGTGATGTAGTTTGTGAGCAACTTGTTTCTCTATGGATTAAAGATACTATTTATTCAAGACTGAGAAGGTGATCAGGCTTTAAAAACCCTTTAACATTAGCAGAATGGTAGATTAAGGTGGTGGTGATCTGTATTATTTATGGCCATTCAGAGGGTTCATAAATCTTGATGTACCTGGCACTTGCTATAAAAATTGGCATACATGTAAACAGACACGGATTATTTGCCTGCCACAAAGTCCTGAGCAAAGTCATCAGAAACTCCACAGATGCTGGTGCATTGCCATTTATATATAGCTCCCTTTTCTATCTGAAAGCACCCAGCACAGAATACAATATAAAACAGTGCCAGTAGCTGACAGTACAAATAAAGAAAGAAATCGAAAAATAAAAGTGTATAACTCTGAATAAGTATTATTGAAGGACCTCATTTTTTTTAAAAAAATAATGTTTATTAAATTTTAAGGAGTTACAAAAAGAAAAAATTAAAGAACAGCATATTAAAGAAATACAAAACACCACATCACAATAATAAAAAAAGAAAAAAGAAAAGAAAAAAAGAAAAAGAAAAAGAAAAAAGAAAAATACAATGAATCTTCCCATAACTTATCTTTCATTTGCTTATTTCCTTGACCTCCTCACACCTCCCTTTTTGTATTCTAGTTCAATTAGCTATTTCAGCAAATCCTTTCCATCTTTTCCAGTTTTTGTCCTCTATTTTATCTTAATATAATGTAACTTTACTTTCCCTCCCTCACCATTTAGCAATCTATTTTTTCTTAATCCTTTATAGCATTTCTGCTAAAACCGCATTATTTCATTCCAACATCCTTCTAACATTCCTTAATTTTACAATGTTTCTGTAAATAAACTTTAAATTTCTTCCAATCTTCTTCCACCAACTCTTCTCCCTGGTCTCAGATTCTGCCAGTCATTTCCGCCAGTTCCATGTAGTCGATCACCTTCATCTGCCATTCTTCCCGGGTGGGTAGATCTTGTGTCTTCCAATACTTCATGATGAGTATTCTTGCTGCTGTTGTGGCATACATAAAAAAAGTTCTATCCTTTTTTGGCACCAATTGGCTGACCATGCCCAGGAGAAAGGCCTCTGGTTTCTTCAGAAAGGTATATTTAAATACCTTTTTCATTTCATTATAAATCATCTCCCAGAATGTCTTAATCCTTGGGCACGTCCACCAAAGGTGAAAAAATGTGCCTTCAGTCTCTTTACATTTCCAACATTTATTATCGGGCAAGTGGTATATTTTTGCAAGCTTGACTGGTGTCATGTACCACCTATAAATCATTTTCATTATATTCTCTCTTAGGGCATTACATGCCGTAAACTTCATACCTGTGGTCCATAACTGTTCCCAGTCAGCCATCATAATATTATGTCCTACATCTTGTGCCCATTTAATCATAGTTGATTTCACCGTTTCATCCTGAGTATTCCATTTCAACAGCAAGTTATACATTCTTGACAAGTTCTTAGTTTTGGGATCTAACAGTTCTGTTTCCAGTTTTGATTTTTCCACCTGGAAGCCAATTTTTTTTATCCAAATTGTACGCCTCCATTATTTGGTAATAATGGAGCCAATCTCGCACTCTATTTTTTAGTTTTTCAAAACTCTGCAATTTTAATCTGTCTCCCTCTTGTTCCAAAATTTCCCAATATTTCGGCCAATTGGCCTCCATATTGAGCTTTTTCTAAGCCTTCGCTTCCATTGGTGACAGCCACCTTGGGGTTTTATTTTCAAACAAGTCCTTATATCTTATCCAGACATTAAACAGTGCTTTTCTGACAATATGGTTTTTAAACGCTTTATGTGCTTTAATCTTATCATACCACAAATATGCATGCCACCCAAATACGTTGTTAAAACCTTCTAGGTCCAACACGTCAGTATTTTCAAGAAGCAGCCATTCTCTCAGCCAGCAAAACGCGGCCGATTCATAATAAAGTTTAAGGTCTGGCAGGGCAAATCCACCTCTTTCTTTAGCATCGGTTAATATCTTAAATTTTATTCGAGGCTTCTTGCCCTGCCAGACAAATCTAGAAATATCTCTCTGCCACTTCTTGAAACAATCCATTTTATCCAAAATTTGCGATGTTTGGAACAGAAACAGCATCCTTGGCAGTACATTCATTTTTATCGCAGCAATTCGGCCAAGCAATGATAACTTCAGATTTGACCATATTTCTAAATCCCTTTTCACTTCCAACCAGCATTTTTCATAGTTATCTTTAAATAAATTCACATTTTTGGCAGTCATATTGACCCCTAGGTATTTCACTTTCTTGACCAATGTTAATCCTGTCTCCTTCTGAAACCTCTCTCTTTCAATCTCTGTTAGATTTTTCTCTAGAACCTTAGTTTTCATCTTATTCAGCTTAAAACCCGCAACCTGACCAAATTCTTGAATCAGTTCCAATACTCTTTTGGTACTAGATTCTGGCTCCTGTAATGTCAGTACCAAATCATCGGCAAATGCTTTCAATTTGTACTGTTTAGCTCTGACTTGTATACCTTTAACCATTTGGTCCCTTCTAATTATGTTTAAGAGAACCTCCAAGACGGATATAAAAAGCAATGGGGAGATTGGGCAGCCTTGTCGTGTTCCTTTCTCTATCTTAAATTCTTCCGTCACTACATTATTTACAGTTAATTTAGCCTTTTGTTCTGAATAAATTGCACCTATACCATTTCCAAAACCTTGGCCAATCCCCATCCCCTGTAAATTCTTCATCATGAAACTCCAGGAAATATTGTCAAAGGCTTTCTCCGCGTCCACAAATATCAAAACTGCTTTAGTGTTAATATTCACTTGTAGTTTTTCTAAAATATTAATTATATTCCTCGTATTGTCAGACAAGTGTCTGCCCGGGAGAAAGCCCATTTGATCTTTATGAATTTTTTCTACTAGTACCTTTTTTAATCTTTTAGCCAAAATGTCTGCAAAGATTTTATAATCCACATTAAGCAAAGATATGGGGCGGTAATTCTTAAGCTGTGTCTTCTTGGACTCTGTTTTCGGTATAAGTGTGATGTATGCTTCCTTCCACGACTCTGGTGCCCTTTTCCCTTCCAATATTTCATTACAAACTTCTTTTAATGGCTGTACTAGCCATTCTTTCAGAGATCTATAATATCTTGAAGTCAAACCGTCCGGTCCTGGAGATTTACCCAATTGCATATTCTGGATGGCCCCTTCTACCTCCTGCTCCGTTATTTTGTTGTTCAACATTAGTTTGTTTTCTTGAGAGATTTTTTGTAGTCCCTTTGTTTTCAAAAATCGGTCAATGTCCATTTCTTTCTGTGTCTCCTGTGTATATAATTGTTTAAAGTACCTCTGAAAACACTTTCTGATCTCCACTGGATTCTGTATATTTTTCCCTTCCACTTCCAAATTTGTAATGGTATTAAGTTTTTGTCTTTTTTCATTTGCCAAGCCAGCAGTTTCCCACATTTATTTGCCGATTCAAATGTCTTTTGTCTCATCTGTTTAATTTTCCATTCTATTTCCTGGTTCATCATTTTCATATATTGTACTTGATATAACTTTATCTCTTTCAAGATCTCCTGCGACTTTGGTTTCACTCTCAATTTTTTCTCTCCTTCCTTTATTTTCTCCAAAATCTTATCTTTTTTCTCATTTTGAACTCTCTTCTTAATTGCATTCTGTTGTATCAAAAATCCTCTCATAACCGCTTTACTTGCGTCCCAGATTACTCTTTTTTTGGTAGTGGTATTCATATTAATCTCAAAATAATCTCTCAATGTTTTTTGGGCCTTCTTAGTCACTTCTTTGTTCCTAAACAAAGTGTCATTCATCCTCCATCTAAAGGAACCAGTTGGTATTAGTTTCATTTCCATCTTCACAGCATTATGATCGGAGTAAGTTTTAGGGCAAATTTCCACTTTTCTAATCTTCGGAGCCAACCCTCTAGTTACCCAAATTTGGTCAATTCTTGTCCATGTCATTTTGGCCTCAGAGAAGAAAGTTCCCTCTCTTCCCAAAGGGTTCTTCATTCTCCAAATGTCAACTAAATCCATATTGTCAGTCATATCAAAAAAAGTTTTTGGTAGTCTACCATCCTTGGTAACTACCTGTCTCAATGCCTTGTCCATATTTGTAGACATCACTCCATTCATGTCCCCCATCAAAATCATATTGTAATCCATATAGTCCATCAGAGTCTCGTGTAACTTCTTGTAGAACTCTGATTTTCCCTCATTTGGTGCATAAATACCTACTATCAAAAATTTCTCTCCTTGCGATTGAATTTCAATTGCAACAAATCTTCCTTGGTCATCTTTAAATATATATTGAAGGACCTCAAATCGCAGCATCATCTCTCCCAAACTGAAAATCAGTGTCTATAAGCACAAAATATGTGACTTCAAAAACATTCCTCCTTCGGATCAAGTGTAGTGGCTTCTGTACATGAAGTATCAGAATGTAGAAACAATGTGAATAGTGTGGTCTTTGACCACTAGACTCTCCCAGAGCAGCTTTAATCTTTAAAAGCTTTTCTTTGTAATGATGAATGATAGACACTCACTCCTGTCAAACTCTTAGGTTTTTCTAGGGAGTGTCAGGAAACCGGTGGATGCCCCAGATATAATATTCTTTGGACTGTCGTTCAGAGGTGAAAACTGAGCACGGCACTTGATTCTATTTCTCATATCTACAAAGAGGGTGACATTTCCATGTCTAACAGGGGCAAGAGCATGACAGAAACGTTGATACCAATCAAGCATTTGTTTGCACGCAACTATTATGCCGGATTGTATGGTTATAGGACATCTGTTAGTGTGCACTGTCATAAAAGAGGCTGAATGATCAATATACAATTTTCACAGAGGGCCTCTTTATAATTCTATGTAATTAGGGGCAGATGCATCTTCTTTAAATGCTGACAACAGTTTGCCATTTTTATATTATTCTGTGAAACATAAATAAACGACGGACTTTAATTCAAGGATTAGGGAATCTAGTAATAATTAATAATTATAATACTAATAATTTGGGGGCAGGCAGGAGGGGTATATGTAGGGAAGCCTCATAGACAAGTCATAATCCTAATGGATGTAATTGGAGCATTCCTTTGCATAGCAGAATTGGTAAACAAATAGGAGTCGATGGCAGAGAATAGTGCTGCATTGTGCAGGGGGTAAGACTGAATACTAAAGCAGAGCTCTGATATAGCTTCAACAACAGTGAACCTTAGACTGAGCCCTATATTTGAGCAGCAGTTCAGCTGTCACCTTATTCTCCTGTGCGAATGAACGGAGCTTTCTCAGTTTCTGTCCCACCTCCTTCCATGCTAAGTGAGACATTTTGTACTGTCTCAGTCTGATGCTCAAATAAATGGAAAGAGAGGACTGGAGGCAATTGTTTTGCAACATTCATGGGGGGACCCAATTTTCCTTTGGTGGCAGCTGAAGGATGGGACTGCTGGGCCAAA